TTTTTTTTGTGTGTGTGTTAGTTATGTCAATGTAACACATTTTATGAGTTTGATTGTGTATTTACTATTATTGAATAGATTTGTAAGTGTATATGTAATTTTCATTCTGTTATGGTTATTATTTATTTTTGTATTTTCATAGTTTTAATGTTTTTTATATTCACTGTTATAGTTAGCATGTATTTTTGTATTTCATATATTTATTGTATTTTGTGTTCTGTTTTTTTTGTGTGCAAGTTATGTCAATGTAACACATTTTATGAGTTTGATTGTGTACTTACTATAATCGAATAGTTTTGTAAGTGTATATGGAATTTTCTTCCTGTTGTAGTTATTATTTATTTTGGTATTTCATAGTTTTTAATGTTTTTTGTATTCATAGATTTGGAAGTGTATATTGAATTTTGTTGTTGTTTTAGTCAGTATGTATTTTTGTATTTAATAGTTTTATTGTATTTTGTATCCATAGATTTGGAATTGTATTTCATATATTCAATTCATTTTGTATTTCTATTTTTTTTTTGTGATATTTATGTCAATGTACCACAGTTAGTATTTATTTTTGTATTTCATAGTTTTAATGTTTTTTGTAATCATAAATTTGGAAGTATATATTGAATTTTGATACTATTTTAGTCCGTATATATTTTTATATTTCATAGGTATATTGTATTTTTGTATCTATAGGCTTGGAATTGTATATTATATTTAATATATCTAATGTATTTTGTATTCTGTTTTTTTTTTGTGTGATAGTTATGTCAATGTACTTCATATTAGTAATCATATCTATTTTTTTTCTCACATTGGTACGTATTCAGTAAATTAAATAATGATAATTGAATTGATCAAAATGCATAAAAAATTCAGAACGCAAATACATATGATTAATAATTATACAAGCAAAATCGCATCAAATCACAATCAAATATAAAAACATAAGGGTTAATTAATTGACTTTCGATTTTCCTATCCTGTTTATTTTTCAAAAAGCTTTTACCCAGATTATTTTTCAAGACATAAACCTTGCAAGAATTTTTTTGTAATTAATGAACATCATGAATAATAGACAAATTTATCATTCAGTTTTGGTATAAGTTGTAACTGATGTTGAATGTTTTAAGCATTTGTTACTTTTTATAAATTTTCTCTACCCTAAATAGCTCCTGTTTGTAATATAAATTCTGTATTCTTTTTAGTTAAAATATAATTAACATACATAATAAGGTAAAATTTTAACATTATCATTAAATATTTTAAGTGTTAACACTATATCCTATTAAATATTAAAATATTGATATTTAAAAAAATTTCCTTATTATTTTGCTAGATTTAGGATAGGGAAAAATTTTGGGTCAAAGGCCCAAAATAAAAATGGGTAAAAGCCCAAAATAGGTGGATCCAAAAATCGGTCAAGGCGAACAAAACTTGGATTTGGACCCAAATCTCTTTCCCTCTCTCTTATTTCTTGTTTATATACTTGCTTTATGTGTTAGTTAGTTTTAAGTTAAGAAAACTCCAAACTCCCGCAAACGCCTCAAATGTTTTATCAACATAAAATCAACAATTTTGCAAATAACTCACTTAGATAATAAGTTAATATTTTAATTCTTTACCCTCCTAAGTGATTTTCAAAATTGAGCGATTTTAGCCAAATACAAAGTTAGTTGTCGGATAACCGTATTAAGCGGATATTTTAGGTGCCTTAAGCACCTTCGTAAAATATAAAATTGAATCCCCAAACCCCTTCTAAAATTATTTTCAATTGATTTTTCTGTTGAGTCTTTTGAAAATAGAAGTTTTCTTGATTTTTCTTAAAAATTAAGTGGCGACTCTAAAAAGTCCAAAACTCTTCGAAACAAATATATTTCGATAAAACACATCTTCTCGACTTTTTTGATAAATTTGAATCAAAATTGAAAGGATATTCGACGAATTGGGAGAAGAAATATGAAACTCATCACTCTATCGTTCATTACTCATCTTGGATTCCCAGATTCTTGAATGTATTAAAAAAAAAACACCTGACAGCACATTCTTTTTTATCCTATTTTTTATTATTTTCTACCATTTCAAAAAATTACAAAAATCACTCTTTTCTATAATATTTTACTTTTACAGATACATCACTGTAAACTATTAACCCAAAATTATTTTTCTTTTTTTCACGCCTAAAATCACTCTATGGTATCACCAATTATCTTTACACTCTATTTCAAATTTTTTCTCCATTTTTTTCTTTCCACTTCATCCGATATTGATTTTTTTTTTTAGATTTCTTCTACAAATTTAGTTGGTGAAGGATGCATCTTTAATTTCAAAATCGATTGTGGAAAAAATCCCTAAAAAAAGAGGAAAAGGTCGAGTTGTTGGTGGCTCCGATAAGAGCTTTGGATCGAAATCCATGGGTGACACCATTGTTGAAAGTGAAAACAAATGCCATGTAAGTTGATACAAAGCAACAGAGGAAGTGTAGAAGAATTTTTTCCATCATCAGTTTTTGCTTTCAGCAGATCAGATTATTGCCTTTTTCCCGATTTTTTATTGTTCGTCTTTTATCTGATATATATGTGTTTAGTTTTTTAATGTATTTAGTCATTTTTGTTTCTTAAATTAATGCATAATGTTTTATTTTTTTGTTGCTTTCAGCAGATCTTTAATGTATCTAATTGATTTTTATTCTTCAGTTAATGTATGATTAGTTCGTTTCACCTTTATAATACATTACAATTTTACTATGCGCAATATATATCATTTTCAAATATTAGTTTTGAGGCATAACCTCAATTTATTGAAACACAAATTAGTATGTATCATGTTCATATATTATGTATTGAATACACAACTATTATAAATTTCATTATATTTACCACCGATACACAGACCCAACCTTATTTGACTAGGGGTGTGTAGACACTCTGCAGTCACGTTCCACCCCGTTTTGGGCGTGACAACAATCACCATTCACTTAGCCGTGTATAGTACGATATATAGTTTTGTCCATGGGGAGTCACAAGTATGTAAAGTTTATCAAAATAATTAGAATAATGTTTAATAATTAGGGGTCAATTCATCAGTTAAATCCTCAATGCTTAAGTCAACCACAATCCACTGCACACTTTTGGATCTGCACAACTTAGGTACAAATTGTAAATTAGATTTCTGATGCATGAAGTTAGCTATTGCACATGTAGCTGTTTAATAAGATCCATCGACACTGTTCCCACTTGTAAAACTCTGACTAAATGAAAGACTTTAATTATGTAAAGGGAATTCATGAGATTTTAGTTTATGTTAATTTTTCTCATTCAATATTAATTTAAAGATATTTCAAGAATTTGCTTACCGTAGTGTATATATTTTCTTGATGATGCTAATTAACTTCAGGGATACCATAGTGTCAAGCATATATATGGGATTGTAAATTGGAACCAACTACAATTAGCTAGTGTTAATATGAATTGGAAGTTAAGAAGGGTAATAGGGAAAGCAAATTATATATAGAAAAACTATACTGTTAATACATGATTATTTTATGTATATATAGTAGATATTGAATCTCTTCAAAAAAAAAATTCAATTTAAAAATTTTATATTTTAGAATCTTGTACAATTTTGTGTTTGCGACTCAAAGACTGAACAATCACAATGACTAGCTAAAAAGTTCATTAAAAACGCAATGGAATTGTTAAATTTACTCCATAAACTACATGCCAATCCAATTTATGAAATCTGTTTGTTTTCTTTTATTTTATTTTCTTACGTTAATATCTATAATTTAAGTCCTTTTAAATTAGATTCATACTGAAAAATCTTATGCTTCCTAACAAAAACGACTTCATACTTAAAAAAAAAGAAGGTCTCCTTTCAATTATGTGGCGTTATGTGAAATTAAAGTGGTGTCTTGCGCCATAATTTTGAATGATTATAGCGCCTAATCTGGCAGCACTATTATTAGAAAAGAAAATTAATGTAAAAGACGAACAAAAATAAATTAGGCGGGCCACCACCACAACTTTTTTTTTTCTTTCTATTTTGACAAACTCATTGCAAAAAATGTTACGTAAAAGCAATTTCACTTCTTCTTCCAATTCACACACAAATCCTTGCGCAATAAAAGTTTCCAACATTGGAATATAAACATTTACAAATTACAATATATTGTTTCATAGGATGTGTTAAAAAATTCAATATTAATTTTAATTATGTTATTACTTAATTTTGTTGGACAAATGGATTAGTAGTAATGATAAATGCGTAGAACTTTTCAAATTTGAATTAAAATTCAATAATTCGAATATTTTTTATTAATTTATCAGTAATTAGCTGTTTAAATAATGATTTTGATATTTTTTATATTAAATTGTCAAATTTTCATAATTTTAGATGTTTCTGTAACGAATTAATCGATAATCTTGATATATTTAACTGTTTTGAATTAGAGTTTGATATATCTAGTCAAATTATCATTTTTAACGAACTGAATTTTTTTTTCTTAACAATTTAATAGATAATGACGATTGCAAAAAGTAGAAGTAACTGAAAAATTTAACAGATCTCCCGCGTAAGGAGAAAAGGGGCAGATGGAACCCACGCACCGAAGTTAATGAACCTTTGATTGGCAAAAAAAAATATATATTGGCGCAAGACGCGCTTAGTATATAGCAGCTTTCTTAATTACTTCCTCTGTACCATGTGAGATTTTTCGTTGGTCGAAAGTGAAATAATTTAAGTTTAATTGAGATACAGTTAAAATTTATATGTTGGAAAATATGTGTAGAATAAGTCATAATAATTTATTAATTTAAATTTTTTAATATATAATTAAAATTTATATATTTGAAAATATGTGTAAAATAAGTCATAACAATTTCTTAATTTAAATTTTTAATATATAATTAAAAATAAATTTATTTAAATCTCGAACTATAAAAGGTAGCACATAAATTAAGACGGAGTATTCACTTGATTCCCGAAGCTCCCATGTGACTTTACTACTGTCTGCCAGCCAATCCACCGACGCCTTAACCCCATTATATTCCACTTTCATCTCTTTCTTCATTTCTATCTATTCCCTTCAACGCAAAAAGTAGAGAGAGTTTGAGATTTCTTCTTTCAAAAAATGGCAAGATTGGTTGTATTTGTTGCTCTTTGCTTCCTCTCTGTTTCTTTGGCTACTACCACTTCCAACCCTTTCCTTGTCAAGGGTAAATGTTATTGTGATACTTGCCGATGTGGATTTGAGACCCCTGCTACTAAGTATCTTGCTGGTAAACTCTAAAAAAAACCCTCATTCTGCATTTTCTACTGTTCATATTTCAAGATCTGTTCTCATTTCTGCCATTTCTTGACTACCCATTTGCAGATCTACTCTATAGATTTACTAGATCGTATTGTTTAGTGTTTAAGTGAGGAAATGTTCATTTCTTGTCTGATTTAGTAATACAGTGATGTAGTTTATCATCAAATTGGATTGTTTCACGTCGTACTGTGAACTGTTTTTTTGTTGCCTGAGTCGGATTTAGCCTTCTGATATTGTGTTCATATGAATCTACTACTTTTGACGCCGAACATAAATTTTGGGGAATAAATTGCGTCTATATCAATTTTTAAAATTGAAGTCATATCAAGTTTAAATCTTAAATCTGCCTCTTTTTTTGCTGCTAGTTTACGGTAGGATTAACAATAATTGTGGTATGACGAACAGGATCTAAGGTTAAAGTTGAGTGCAAAAACAGGGTGACCAACAAAATCACATACACAATTGATGGAGTGACAAACTCACAGGGTGAATACAACATCTTAGTTAAACGTGACTGTGGTGATGATGTCTGTGATGTTGTGCTCGTCGAGAGCGGTGATAAATCATGTAACATCCCCAATGCTGGTCGTGATCGTGCCCGTGTTGCTCTCACCCGCAACAATGGTATGACCTCTGATGTTCGTTTCGCTAACAACATGGGTTTCCTCTCCAACGAACCTCTTGCTGCCTGCACTCAGATCCTCCAGCAATACCAATTGACTGAGGATCAATATTGAAGAAACAAGAAGAACAAATAATTTGTTATGGATCTTTGTTTGATGGGTTCATTTATTATTATATGATGCTATAGGCATCAAAATTGATACTTCTATTCTCTTTGTTATTGTTTTCTGGATGTTCAGCTTCGAAGTTATATGTTTCCTTTTAGTAGTATATGAGGAAATTTTAATGGCTCATTAAAATTATTACTTAATGCTTAAATTGTGGCTTGATTCATTTTCTTGCTGCTAGTCAATAGACATAGTCTTAATACTTCAAGTTTGTTTTAAACATAATAAAGGAGTAAGTTGTTGGAGCTTGGATAGTTCTTAATATTGCTTCATAAAAAGGCATAATGATGTCTTTAAGTACTTTCATATGTAACATGGTATTACTTGTGGGATTCCTAATGGAACAATGTTAACTCCGATAAGAAGCAAGCAAAAGAGATAATACAACATTTGAGGCATGAAGTTAAAAATGATAGAAATTAATAACAATAAGATGAAAGTAACATGCAAGTGAAAGTGTTGTGTGTTGATTCTTCAAATTATGTTGTTTTAAGAGTTTTAATTAGATAATTTAGCAAATAAAAGTACATGTTTATTCTCAAAAAAAAAATAAAATACTGAATCTAAAAACTGATTACTAGTCTCCTAGGCTAAAGGCTAGGAAATAGCTTATTGACTTCTAAGACAAGTGCAACAAACACTCTGTTGTCAATCTTTCCTCTAAACTAAAATAATTTTTAATGTAATTTGCAAACACTAAGCTGATCACGTATTGTGGGAAGGACATTGATTTTAGGGGTTTTATGAACATCATAACAAGTGATATTTCACATTATATGTTTATTTCGTTTATATTCGACTGGATTCTTTGAAGCTGAAGTAGTATCACAATAAAATGGCATTGATTTTCCTACTTTAAAGGAAGTTCTTCAAATAACATTCTGTAGCCAAATAGCTTGATGATGTTGAAGTGATGTACTCCGTCACACTAGTAAAAATAGTAACAATGGATTGTTCTTTTGAAGATGAAAAAATAACTATATACCCCAACATAAAAACATATATGGTATCTTTTTTTGTCTTGAAAATTTTCAATATAGTCAGTGTCAGTGTAGCTAAGCAAATTTCCAGCTGCTTTCATTTTATAAAATTATTTAAAGGCACTAGTATCATTCAAGTACTGCAGAAGTTTTATTGACAACTTATAGATGCATTTCCTTTTGACTCTTGAGCTTGTTAACGAGACTTAGATAATTGATACATATGTTTAAATATAGCTGATAATAACTATGTTCGCTTCAATAGGTATTTCTTTTTTCTTCATATTTTACTCGTAGCATTTCAAATCATTTCTGAAATCCTTTACGGAGATTATATCAATTAGTATGAGTATCATGATAAAATTTGGTAAAAATTCAGCAATGAAATTTTTTGTTAGGGAAAGATACAATCTACCGTTAACATTATATAGTTATGTTGATCAAAATAATATTTAATTATTTTTATATATTATTTTATTATATACATGTAAATTATATTTTTGATACAAAATAATTTATAGTTTTTGATACATTTGGCTAGTAATTATTTTGATCGATCGTTGAAGTATAATTCACCCTTTTATTTTTGGGTTCTTATTTGTTAGTACTCATTGAATTCTTATTAATTCGAATTCATGTCAAATAGAGTTTCCTATTTAAAAAAAATTCTTGTCTAACACTTGAAACTGAATGTTTGATTTAAGGGGGGAAATCAATCCACTAGACCACTTGATGCCCTCTTATTAGGAAAAATTGTGTAGTACGATAAACATATGGTATGTATTTACTATACACCACCTATAGTTTGGATTATCATTCACAACTATTGCTTCATAAATATAGTTATGTTAACGCGCTGTCTCCGCTCTCGCTTGGCTCTCGCCCCTCTGTTTTTGCCCTCTCTCTTATCTCTTGCCCCTCTTTCTCTGCCCTCTCTCGCTTGCTTCTACCTCCCTCTCCCAGTCGCGTCTCTTCTCTCTAGCCTGTTCCTCTCTATCTCTCTCCAATATGAATATAAATGGAAACACTCAGTGATACAAATACAAATGGTAACACTCAATAATACAAATACAAATGGTAACACCTAAATACAATACACAAGGCAATTTGTGAATACAAATACATTTTACTACGAATTACAATAATGATACAAATTGTATTCGTTAATATCTCTAATACAATTGATTTGCTTCAACAAATTGAATACAGTTGTTTTTAAACAATTGTATTAATTGATACAAATCAGTTGTATAAATTGTATTCATGATACGATTATCAAGTCAGATATACAAATCGATTGTATCTCTCTCAAATCTCGCTGGCTTCTCTTATCCCTTTCCCAATCTCGCGCTTCTGTCTCCTCCTTCTAGTAGCTCGTTTTTTTTTTATATACAGATCAATTCTACTCACACTATAGTCAGACCAATTGAATTCCCTCCTTGTTAGTGCTTAACTCTTTCCAATCTTGCTTGCTTCTCTCCTTCTTATAGCATGTGTCTAGAAATCATAATTAAGCAAATGATAAATAGCTAAGAAGCCCGGTTTATATTTTTAGTCATGACTGTTATTGAGAGTTCCTTCATTATTGGTTCACTTCATAGTTAGCATTAGAGGGTGTTTGGATTCGATTAAAAGTTGGTCAAACCTACTTTAAAGTTAATTTTTTATTTTTAGAAGTGTTTGATAAATATAAAAAATAATTTAAAGTAAAAATTTAACTTAAAATAAGTTGGGAAGTGTTTGGTAAGGTGACAAATGACTTAAAATAAATTAAAAACAACTTAAAGTAAATCAAAAATAAAAAGTAGGGAGTAATTCTTCCCTTACGTTTAATTTTTTAATTTAAAACTCATTTCATTTTGACTTTTTATTTTTGATTAAAAAGTTGTTTCTTTTAAAACTCATTTCATTTTGACTTTTTATTTTTGATTAAAAAGTTGTTTCTTTTAAGGCAATCCAAACAGCTAATCAAGTACTCTCTTTGTACGGAATTGTTTGTCATGTTGTGTTTATCGAAAGTCAATTTGACTAATTTTTAAAGGTAAATTAGATCACATTAATTCAATATTTTAAACAAAAAAATTAGATATTCTAAAACTATATAAAAAGCATTATAAATTACAATTTTTTGCATATAAAAAATTACAACTTAAAATGTTAATCAAAATTTTTATAATTTGACTTTAAAAATACAAACAATGCGGTACGAAAGGTGTAAAAAATTATATTTGTGAAAAATTGGCCTAATCGAAGCCCAACTTGAACAAAGCCCTTGAGGTTTGAAACGGCGTCACATCTGACTGTGACAAACTGACAACGACCTCCGGCAGCCATTCTTTGAAATCTCCGCGTTCACATGTATGACCTTCTTCTGTGTCTGCATTCGTTTGATTACACAGTTATTGAAAGGTGAAGTTTGATCACAAAGAGGTAAAGATCATCTTTTTGTCAATTCTCATTTAAAATCAAGATTCCATCTTTTTCTCCTCTTTTATATATTTGAGTTATTTTAGTCCATATGTTTAAGGTTCTGCTTAATACGCTTAAGTAGGAAATGTCTACTCCATCTAGCATCATGTGCCCTTTTAGCACTTTCTTGATTTGGAATGATTATAGTTGATGTTGAGGTACCATGTAATAGGTCCTTGGACTTATAGCAGGAGCTCTAATGCATCAGAATACCATTTTTTTTCTTAGTTTCATGAATGTGAACATGTATGATCAGCTTGTTAGGATTTATGATAACACAATTCTGGTGTAAAGTTATTTTTTTGAAAAGCTTATTGTTAGCTATCCATGAAATTGTTACTAGTTGATCATAAACTTATTCAAATTTGTTTTCCCTTTTTAAAATAGTCTATTAACTCATCTGAGAATCAGCTATCGGTAATGTATGAAATGCAGTTCTTTTTCTTTGGTTATGAAATTTAGCTGAACACTGTGAAGATGTCTATTCAGTTTCCGTTTTGTTTTCTTTTCTGATGCTTAGTTGGGATAACTTCATACTCAATATGGTTGCTGCTGTATATCACCAAGCAATTTGCTTCACTGCGAACGAGGGTGTTAGGGACTTCCTGATCACATCTTCATCTGGGAGTCTTAAAATGAAACCATTGTTAAGAAAAGAGAGATGCAGTTTGAGGCAGTATGTGAACTGTGTGAAGTATTCATCAAAGTCATCTTTATGTGCCATTAAGCCAATTTTCTCCTCATTGTCAAGTACCAATGATTCGCGGAGAACAGTTCGTGAGTACACTCCTTCCCAGTAATTCTTGTTATCATCTATCAAAAAGTGAGTGTACTCGTTATTCGTTGTTGTATCTGGATTCTAGTTTGTGATCTTGTCCTTTTTTAAGGCTTTATTCCTGCAGCTGAATCATACTTGATCTTAATACGGCATGGAGAATCGATGTGGAACGAAAAGAACCTGTTCACTGGTTGTGTAGATGTGCCACTCACCAGTAAAGGAGTAGAAGAAGCAATTGAAGCTGGTAAGAGAATTAGACACTTACCTATTGATGTTGTCTACATCTCTGCATTGATTCGTTCTCAGATGACGGCCATGCTCGCCCTAACAGAGCACCACTGCAAGAAGGTACTTCTGCATTTTGATCATCAAAAAAACTTTTCTTTTTGAAGCATGGTCCTGCTAGCTAGTGCACTTCTTTGAAATGACTTAGGGTAGCACTAAAATATTCTTGAATTTACTCTTTAGTTTGAATAACTTCATGTACAGTTGGAGCAATTACAGCTGTCCTTGTGCTGTCTGCTCTTATGCTATGTCGTATCCTCTTATGATTTGTCATACGTATGTCAAAACTAGTCCTTTTCTTGGTGAACCATTCTGGAGAAAGTTCCCCTTATCAATTGTTACATTTGTTTGCTAATTATTTCCAATCATTTGGCCTGGTTTATGTTGATATTCATGATTCATTAATCAGAATTCATGAGGAAGGTTTAATTTTTTCTTGAAGGTGAAATCAATTAAAAGTATAGACACAGCATGAATTAGCAATGTGAAATAAGACTATCCCGAGCTTCATAAACAAAGCCCTTCTGTTTGTTGTGTTGCAAGAAATGTTCTTCCTGCTTCCTGGATAATGTTATCCTATATAGAAAAGTCTTTTTTTTGGTTATCCGTTTATCTATGGGCTATGGCTTATTGTTACCTGTCTATGTTTATATCATGTTGTAAGACATGGATGACGGTCAAACAGGTTTTAGCATCCAAAATAAATAATTCAGGAAATAATAAGTGCGTCTTTATTGAAAAATTACATAAAAACTTTCCATGAGATTCAAGAAAGGTTGGTATACCAAAGATTGCATGCTCTTTTGTTCGTATGTCACCAATATAATGTGCAGAAGATATCAAATTTATATAAGAAAAGGCCACTGTATATAAGCACTTATCCTTCTTAAACTTTCAGGTGCCCATTATTGTCCACGATGAGACTGAACAAGCCAAAGTATGGAGTCAAATTTATAGTGAAGGCACCGAGATGCAGTCTGTTCCTGTTATTAAAGCATGGCAACTGAATGAAAGAATGTAATTTAACAGTTCTCATTTTGTTTCTATTCCAATATGATGTCATCCCATATTCAGTAGGATGTTATTATTTTATAGGTACGGGGAACTTCAAGGGTTTAATAAGCTAGAAACAGCTGAAAGATGCGGACAAGAGCAAGTCTATAAATGGCGCCGAAGCTATGATGCTCGGCCACCCAACGGCGAGAGCTTGGAAATGTGCTTGCGAAGAGCTGTTACCTATTTCAAAGAGCAAGTAAGCTGCTGTGACTTGTAAAAAGCATAAAGAGGAGACTTGTTTCAATTGATGCAGGGCTTGATATCTTGACCTCTCATTTCCGAGCATTTACTTGCAGATTGAACCCCAACTTTCCAGTGGAAAGAATGTAATGGTAGTAGCTCATGCAAATTCATTGAGGTCCATCCTAATGTATCTCGATAAATTGACTGCAGAGGAGGTAATGAGTATTGTCATTTTCCTTTTAGTATCACACATTTTCAGTGCATGTATGTTAGTTGGTTATGAATAGGTCCTTGGTAACAGGTCATCCACTTAGAACTCTCAACCGGAGTACCAATGCTTTACATATATAGAGAAAATCAATTCATCAGGAGAGGAAGTCCCTTGGCATCTATGGAGAATGGAGTTTATGCTTATACAGAGGTAATATCTTTTTTCCTGCTTCATTAATGTATGTCATTCTATAGGAAATAGTTGGTGATAGCTCTTGTTTATTTCTGTATGCTGAAGTACTTCAGATGTCAATTGTCAATCTAAAAAAAATAACAAGTAAGTTGATAGAAAGTTGAGTTTAAGCTGATGTTATGTTATTAGCCTATGCCACATTTATGATGCCACAGGTACAATAGCTTTATGAAAAGTTCAAATAGAAGATCAAGATGATCTTAATTGACCATAATGCTAAATTAAATGTAATTACAATAGTCCCTTGTGGTCCAGCCCTTCTCTGGACATCCCGCGTGTAGCGGAGCTTTAGTGCACCGGGCTGCCCTTTTAATATGAAAATTGAATTATAATAGAAGTTTGTCAAGCAAAGAATGTAGTTTAACAATCAATATTATCATCGCTATCAAAGACAGAGAGTAGAAAATGATAATATTTGCTGAAGGCTCAAAGCTCAAAGGTAACGTGTGGCCTAGTGATCAATGAAGTGGTTGAGTCTTGAGGTCTCACATTCACACTAGGTGATTCTTCTCATCTATTATAGCCTTGGTGGACAAATTTCCCTAGTACCTGTTGTCAATGGATGTTACATGGCTCTTGTGGAATTAGTCGAGGTGCGTGAAAGTTGTTTTGGACACTATGATCATCACAAAAAGAAAAAGAAAAGGTCACTAAAGCCCTGAAGCGAGGCTCAAAACATATTGGAGTGCTTCACCTCTCTTTATGTGCGCTTCAGTGTCGTTATCAAGGTTCTAAGACATACTTCTCCTTGCCGATGACCTTTTCTAAAGAGACGACACTAAAGAATTAGTCAATTAATTCACTTCATCGTAACTATTTTCATGTTTCTTTCTTCATATATTTGTCATTCATGCAAATAAATTAGTAGTCTTGGACTAAACATATGTATTTGTACTTCTTCTCCCTTTGCGCCTTTTTTCATTAAAGGCCACACTGTATTTGCAGTTTGAACGGACCTTAGAGCTTTTTCACCCTTTTTACTTCTGGTAACACTGATACAATTAACTGAAATATGTGAAGTAAAAAGCTTGTCAATCACTTTATCAAATGTTTAGTCTCTGTCCTACTAATGGAATCATGAGAGGCATTGAAGCGCCACCTAAGCGACTTCACTTTGCCTATACTGCACCTGTATACAAGCGTACCTCAAGTTAGCTTTTAGCAACACTATTGCCACTGCTTTTCTCCCCTTCCCAATAGCAGCAGTGGAGGGTGTATACTAGGGAGTTACAAAATGTGACTTCTGTGCATTAAATGGAGCAGTTAGTTAAGTGAAATGACCTTTAATATACTTGTTCTACACTTATCAAAAGAATCATATTTAACTTGTTGCTTCACAATATTATAGCAAATGGTGAAGGTGTTTTAGAAAATGACAAAGAAAAGGCATTGTAAAAAAACATCACTGCAGGTGAGATGTGATATGTAGCGATATGTTGCCTTAACATTTATGTCTCTAGTTGCCACCTGTTGTAGCAAAAATTTCTTCATAAAAGATAGAAAGCCATCTTCCCCTCTGTAAAAGTTATCAAAAGAAAAGCAGAAAATTAGGAATTCGAGTCTCTGTGTTGTTTAGAGATTACTGTTCAAAGTGAAAATAATTAGGGATGGTAGGCGGGCCACGGCAGGTTCAGTTATAAAGAGTTGTGGTGTGAATTGAAATTTTTTTTTAATGAAAAAGTGTGGTGTGGGTGTGGTACACCATCTCTGATTGTCGTTGATGGACTTTCAACAATCATACCTTCACAACAATACTGAATCATCAATGTTTTTCACGCTTCTGCTATATGCACATCTGATATGCTGCATGAAACCTTGTTGAGCTGTTGAAATTTATGTAGTCTATTATCGGTTCCTGCAGAATTTGGCCATATACAAGCAAAATCTGTTAGATGAAGTGCTAGATGAAGTGTCTTTATAACTTGCTCCGTAAAAGTAAAAACTATCATGCAAAGCTTAAATATCTTCATTTCACTGGAAGTTCATTGAGGTATTTTGGGTCATTAATAATCATGAGAAACACCAGAGTGAAGATCAAAGAGTTTTTATTGCTACACGCTGCAACAGTCAACATATGGTGTTTCTAAACTCAAATTGAGTCCCTTGTTATGGTTCAAGTGAATGCACCAGTGGAAATCTGGCAACACAATATCTTGTGGAACAGGGGATATCAGATCAAATGCTGATTCTACTTGGCTGTCTCCTGTTATCATCATTCGAGGAACTATATCACTTCATTTTATATTGTCCTCAAGCCAGGGCTTCTTACATTCACATTAGATATTTGTTTTCTTTGGCGGGTTTAAGTTACAGATTAGGTTGAGAGTGCACAAAAAATGTTTGTTGGCAACGACAACTTTAAAAATTTCCTTTTCTTGGTCCTGGAAGATCATTTCCATATGCTTATTAATGATCTCCTTGTTTCTGTTTTTTCATGAATGTTGATTTGGTTGTCTTTTTGATCTGCTTCTATATCTTCTGTACAATCCAAATCCTCTATCATAACAGCGGTACTTGGAGGCAGATGTATGTAAAAAGTTAGTACTGCACTTTCAATCTCGTTGTCCGTTCATATTGTTATGCTCCTTAGTTCTTGTTCTTCGATTTCTTTTACTATATGTTGTTGATTCCTTATACCTCACGGTTATCGTATTGTTTTTTTGTTGTTTTTGTTCTACTGTTATTGGTTGTTTGTTATGATTTGTTGATTCTTGTACTTTCATTACTTCTTTCTATGGATTGCATTGGACTATTTTTCGTTGAGCCGAGGGTTTTATTTGAAATCTGAAGCAACCTTCCTAAGATGCTAAGTCCGCAGATATATATCCTCTTCAAACTCCAATTATATTGAATATATTATTATTATTCTGTTAAATTAAACCTATGAATTTAAGCGTGCATCGGATATAATGGTAAGAACATAGAGTTATCGTGAAAATGCTCTTTATTCTTTGTCATTCCCAAGAATATTTTATTAAGAAATGGTGGCAAAGAATCAACCCCACATTAAGGTAACATTTGGTTTTTAGATTTCACAATTTGGGTATATCTTCTGTCCATTTTTCAAAATACTCCCAATATAATTTCAGCTTCACTAAATCCTTTTATGAATTTCAAAATGACAAATATTTGACTGTGGATCAATTTCATCACTTCCACAAGCACAAGCCCCTTTGAACCAAAGCTTTTGATAGAAAACGTAGAGATTGAAGGAGAAGGAAAAAGTTTTTGGATTTATTTTCTAGTGGACCTAGTGTTAAACTTAACAGAAGTTTATGACGAATTTGCTACTTTTAGGGTAAAGAATCAAATTGAGCACTTTTTATAATACATAAAGTCATTAAGGACTATATGGATTATGTGAAATATATTAAGGATCAAAATAAAGTAACTCCGTATATTAAGGATTATTTTGATCAATTTGTCTCATAATCTAAAAAAATTTCTATCATTTAAAAAAAAACTACAAAATCACCTTTTGGATGCATCTCTATCCCCTCTCAGATACACCCCTCCCATTAAATAATGTATTATATGTGAGACAATCAAAAAATGTAACCGATAACAATGAAAAATTTAAAAATTTTGTAATTAGAAAAAGTTCCAAAATAAAATATAATTAATCCCAAATATATGAGATTATATACTTTTTATACTTGAATTATTGCATTTTTGAGATCACGAGATGGAAGCTTAAAAGTTTTTTTGTGCCCTTAGATCAAACAACACACTTTTTAGTTGTTTCTCAAAGTCATTTTTCTTATTATAAAGAAAGCTCAGAATATTATAATAAGAAACAAGTAGTATAAAATAGAGGAGAGAATTTTTCTTGTCAAGTGTGTCTTCCAAACATGATGATTGATTCTTTATTTATAGTGTTGAGATATCACTCCAAAAGCATCTAACTAATAGATACATAGTCATCTTGGAAGTTTTTATCACCTTGGAAGCACCTATACATGAATCCAATTAATAGTAGATAAATCTAATGGATAATCCACATATACTATTGTTATTTATAATATTTCTCATGTTTTACTGAATTTTTCAATACAAATACAAAATCCATGCAAGTGCTATTGGTTTCCCATTCTAATACAATCTTCTAAGACGCCTTATCCATGTTTCTTTTATACGTAAAAGTTTCTCATTACAAACTTTAAAATATACATCATTTATAAAGATCAACTAATCAATAAATAGTAATAATTAATCTTCTTAGTATAATCTTTTCATCCAATATAAATAATTTTTTCACGCCAAGCATGACTATGTTTTCGCAAAATTTAAAATTATAGAACCTTTTTTTTTATAAACTTATGGTAAAGTTCTACATTTAAAAAAATAAATTAAAACCATGATTTGGAATTGTTGAGAATTTAAAATTCTAAATTATGATCTCATATAGCATGTATACTTCATTTTCAAATACGAGTTTTAATAAAACATGTTTATTAATCAAAAGGAAATAAATAAATTAATAAAATGTTGACAATGATTGTCACTGTGATGCAACCATTCATGTTAACCGGTTGATCACCATTTATCCTAAAATCTCCGAAAGATTTGGCGCCAAACTCTCATCCCATCTAACTTTTTTTTTTCTCTTAAAAGTAAAAAACTATTTTTTAATTAAAAAAATAAAACCCTAAAAGTAAAAAGAAAAGAAAAAGCATTTTAATTACATTTTGTTAACAATAATAATAATTTTATAGAAACAAAAAAATACAAAAACTCAAAGCTTAGGAAATACAAAGTCAAACACAAAGCACATAACAAAAAAGAACACAGAAATTTAGGTAGACAACAAGAAAGGAATCAATAAAAGTTTCTTGTATTTTTTACCTTTGGTGTTCTGTGCATTAATAGATTATTATCTAAATTAATTAGTATTAATCTATAAGAAAAAAAGTAGATTTGACTCCAATTTTGGAATTGTGGATTTATTAATTTGATCCAACATTATATAATCTTGAATGTCGTCTCCAACAAGGTGTTGTAAATCTGATGATAGCATCCACATGATTAAGGCGGAAGCCGCCGCTGCCGTCGTCGTCAAAACCACCTCCAGCGGCGGCGTTACCACCACCCTTGACAATTGTGTCAAGGGTCATGAAAAGAACAAGGTACAATTTATTTATTTTAAGATTTTTTTAAATTAAAATAATTTTAATTTTTTTTTAATGATTTTGAATAAAAGTGTGGCATACCAAAGCTTATTAATTCAAAAGGCATTGGAGGAAGTTTTGAGGAGCATGTAACACAATCAGAAAAAAATGATCAAGGTTTGATTTACAATTATTATTTTATTTTTTGAATTTTATGTATATATTTTTATATTGTAATTGATTTTTTTTTTTAAAGTAGAAGTGGATTGGAAGATTATATCGAGGAGAAAAGTTTTATTTGAAACGTCTCCTTCAGTAAAGAGAAGTTTTACAGGTAGGAATTATCATCACCAACTTGTTTTTAATATTAAATTGCATGAGTAGTAATTATATTTTTTTTTTATGAACTTTTCTTGTGCATGATGGAATTTTATTTTTTAATTTATTCCATTGTACGTATGTTCATGTTAAAGAAACATATCTGGATAAAGTTTTATATTTGGGTGTGGTCTAGTGGTTAATGAAATAGTTGAGAATTTTGAGGTTAGTAAAACTAACAAAGATCGAAAAAACACACACTAGGTTATTCTTTCTATTTATTCAAGTCTTGGTGGACAGAGTTATCAAGTACTACTTATTATTGGTGGGAGGTGATAAGTATTTTATAGAATTTATCCATATGTGTCAAAAATAAAATTAATAATATCCTAGATTTTTCTTTTTAAAAAAGAAAATGGATGTGTATGTGTTATGGTATTACTACTTTCACCTATCATTTACAGATTTGATTAAGGTTATGAATATCGAGCTATAGTTAATGGTCTTATTACACGCCATTTTAATTCAAACGTTTTCAACAATAAGTTCATTATGGTGTAGTGTTCAAGGTTATAAATATTGAACTCCTTATGCTCTTAATATTATGGTTCGAACTTACTACTTATTGCAAATTTAGTGACTTCTTTCTGTACGCATGAAAAAATCGTGTTGTGTATCGAAAGTATTAAATAGATGTATCTAATACTGAAATGGTGTAAATTTCTCCTTTGTTCACTTTGATGTTTACACTTTAAAATTTAACAGTTTGTTGAGACAAGGTATTGTCACTTTTATATGTATATATTGATTTGATATATTCGATTTATCTGTCGTATGTGTTAAACATTAACACGTATACTTAATTAGGTATCTTCTCCAGAATCTGCTTAGCTTCATTTATAGCATAATATTGGTAGCTCACCTAACAGAAGACTAAATTGTATTTTGATTGTAAATTAGCAAATGCTATTTCTTTTCAAATAACGTGGACGTAATTTTAATTGTGTAGAAATTTGACCTTTTCCCACTGAAAAAAAGTTATGTTTCAAATACGGATCTTACCACTCCAACAATTCCGCCAACTGATTTATAAAATATATACAATGAATACATAGGATATACATATGTATAACATAGTATTCTGATCGTATTGATAAATAAGTTTGGCTGAACTGTACCTATTGATAAATTTCCCTATAAAAATTTCAAACTGAAGATTGTAAGAATATCAAAAACAACAACAATCATGCTACTAATTTCTTATCTACTCTCAGCAAGGCATAATAGTGCAAGGATTGAAGGCCTAAACCTTTCCAATTTTGATCAGTCAACACAACCTGCTACTATGATTAAAAATATTAGGTATGATTTTTCTTGATTTACAAATAAATTTTAAACATACTTGAATTAATTAACTAGGATATATATATGACTGGAAAATTTTAGGGTTTTTGCTGGGACATGGAATGTAGGAGGAAAAACTCCTAATCATGGACTTAATCTTGAAGATTTCTTGCAAGTGGAAGGTTCTGCAGACATATATGTTTTGGGGTATGATAAATTCACCATATATTACTCCGTCCATCTTATTTTCCTCGTTTTGGCAACTCTTCATCATACATGACATGTCTAGGACCGAAGATTAAAAAATATTTTTGTACAGTCTGCATATCTTTAGTTTAAAATCAAAAGTTTTCATTCGACAAACAAATTGAAACGGAATGAGTGAGTATTAATTTAGGGTCTTACATGCCTTATTTTTTCAGGTTTCAAGAAATTGTACCGTTAAATGCAGGCAATGTATTAGTGAGTGAAGATAGTGAACCAGCAGCAAGATGGTTAGCCCTAATAAGCCATGCACTTAACAAATCATCCTATGATAATGATGATTCAAGCAGTTCAAAATGCAACAGTTTATTCAATAAACATTCTCTTAAAGTTGTTAAAAAGAGTTTAAAGACTAATAGTAACCTTCTCAAGACATGTAATTGTCCTTCAACCACAAGACGTTTGAGAAAGCTTAGTGATCCTTCATGTTCTCTCTTGACACATTTTCGTGAAGACGATTTACAGTCTATTGCTCAGAAATTTCCTACAACTAATTATGGTTTGAGTTATCATCTTATATCAAGCAAGCAAATGGTTGGGATTTTCCTTTCCGTTTGGGCACGAAAAGAGTTAGCACAACATGTTGGACATCTCAGAATATCTTCTCTTGGTAGAGGTATCATGGGTTGTCTTGGAAATAAGGTAAATGAAAGATCATAATATTTTTTTAAATTTTTTTTTAATTTGAATATTAATAGATTTTGTAATTTAATATGCAGGGGTGTATAGCAATAAGCATGTCACTGTATCGTACGAGCTTTTGCTTTGTGTGCAGTCACTTAGCTTCTGGAGAGAAAGAAGGAGATGAGCTAAGAAGAAATGCAGATGTTGCTGAGATTCTTAAAAGCATACAATTTCCTAGAATTTGTAGGAATCCCGATAGAGGAATCGCAGAAAAAATTACTGATCACCAGTAAGTGATCACAATGTCCTCATTGTAATTTTGAATCAGACATTTCTAATTTTATAAATTTCAGGCGTGCAATATGGCTTGGAGACTTGAATTACCGAGTGTCTTTGAGCTATGAAGAAACAAGGCTTCTTTTAGAGGATAATGACTGGGACTCTCTTTTAGAAAAGGATCAGGTTTAACTTGGTGCAAATAAAATGGTTTGTTTGTTCATATTTATTGCCGATAAAAAATATTTGATATATTTATGTTGGTGACAGTTGAATGTGGAGAGAGAAGCGGGGAGAGTGTTTAGTGGGTGGAAAGAAGGGAAGATCTTCTTCGCCCCGACCTATAAGTATTCACATAATTCAGATTCATATGCCGGAGAGACAACCAAGTCTAAGAAGAAACGAAGAACCCCTGCATGGTATTCCTCCATCTCTCTCTCTTCTACCTTTTCACCTCATCTTATTATTTATACGATTCATTTCAGGTGTGACAGAATATTATGGCGAGGTGAGGGCATTGAACAATTATCTTATATTCGAGGGGAATCAAGATTTTCAGATCATAGGCCAGTTTGTTCTGTATTCGCGGTGGATGTGGAGGTGGAGGCTGAGCTAGTGAAGAAGAATAACTCCAAATTTAGAAAGGGTTTTTCTTGCATTGCTAATAGAATGGATCAGTATGACGATTTTATACCACAGAGACATAGCTTTTATGATTATTGAAATATCAATCTCTAACCAACTATAGTACAGTTCTTCTTTACCTTGAGCTAGGAAAAATTATAATCTCACAAGGTAGGGCAACATCACCCTTCCCTAGACCTCGAGATTTCACTAGGTATGTTGTATCGTTGTATCTTGAGGGGGCAAAGATGGATTCCCCTTATTATCCCATCAAGTAACACTACCTTTTTGTAAAGCATGATAATATTAAAGGGGGAAATTAAAAAAATGAGCAAATAAGAAAAGATAATGACACTAATAGTTTATTTATTTATATATATATATGATAAACCGTGTCTAAAACATGAAATGCGAGTAATCTAAGCATATAATGAACTATTCGTGAAAGGGGGGGAAACACACACGAATTGTTCATTTTTTTAGCTATAGCTCCGATGGATCCTCATATGCCAAATCCCAGACAGAAAGGGGAGATTGATAGTGTTCATTTTCTTTTGGTGTATCATTCAAGTTCATGATGCTGTCATAATGATGTTGTTCAAGGACATTATTGTCTCCCCAAAATACTTCAAAATTCTCCTCAATTGATCCTCTATTAGCATATTGTGCAATATGGTAGTTGTCCACGCTCCTTTTTATGTCCATGTTCATCCCATCATGTTCGCTGTGATGATCATCACCAACCATTATTTCTTTGTGTAGTATAGGTTGTGTTCCAATCAAGCTAGTAAAATTGTTCATGAACATATTAAGTGACTCGTCATTGACACTTTGTTGTTCATTCATTGTTTGCTTTCCGTGATGAGAACAAGTTGTCTCATTGTCCATTCTTGAATTCTTGTAGGGAAATCCAACTCCTAACTCACTTTGGGCGCAATTTAAGTTTTGATATAACATATCCTCAGTGTCTATGTCGCTCTCAAACACACCCTTCCTTTTCTCGTTTCTCCTCAAAGCAAGATCTTCTTTTATCCCCTCAACATTTTCTTGATCCTCCTCTTTTGATGTCGAAATCTTGAGAGCTTTTTCGGTCATCTTGATAAGGACTTCTTCTTGATTAACCACTCTAGACCAAGTAGCTGTTTCTTTAGCTGTCATCTTGTTTTGCAAGCTCTTTGATTGCTTCACCAATCTCCTCATTTTGTCGAAATTAACGGACATATGTTTGATAATTCCAGCCAAAACACTAACCTTCCATGCTTTTTTCAAGTCACGAGGCTTCTTATATGGTGGTGGTCCTTCTTCTTGTGAAAACCCTTGATCACCCCACCATAGTTCCGTCCCTGTAGGCCACCATGGTGGAGCTAAGCCTTTATCCAAAGGGAACCTCCTTTGTGGAGGAATACAATGTCGCATAAGAGATGAAAGTAGTGAACCCAAAGTAGTATCTTGCAAGTCATTTAGAAGATCCATGCATGAATTAGGAACCAACACATTTTCTTCAACTAGTTTAGGCAAAAATGCAGCAATAGCATTTGGGGCATTCTTCTCAAACCTCACTTTGTCCTTCCACCACTCTCTTAAACTATCCGATGACCCTGTCACGGGCTTCCCTTTTTCGGGTACTATGCCATACACGAATCCTTGACCTTTACATATCTCCATGATTTTGACCATGTACTTAAGGACAGAGTCTTGAGCTCTAGACATCTTCTTACGACGAGATTGTTCTTTCTTAGCCTGTGACTCCTCGTCCTCCTCCTCTTCCTCGTCCTCGTCCTGATCAAGTGATAATTCCTCGCTACAAGTAGCACTAGTGTTGATCATCATGTCCCTCTTGTTAGCCTTGAATATTTGCATTCGCTTGCGATCCTTCCACATACGACGTTTGAGATCATCGTAGTTGATTTCTTCATCGTCAATCTCTTTATTTTCTTCGACTAATTCGCTGTTTATCGGGCTGAAAGGCTCGATAATCTCTTCAAATCCCACCATTTTATGTATGTATATATGTTTAATTAATTTTGAAATATTACCTATGATTCGATATATATAAGAATATATGGTGAGACTTGTAATAAAAATAAGATGTTTTTATACTGGTGAAATATGGCGGTGTGAATATTGGATAATAAATAAAATTTATAAATGATGATATTGGAGGAGACAAAATGTGGCCTTTCCCAAGAATGAAGGATGATTTTGGAGGAAAATAGGGGAGTGGGGACTTGAGAGAAGAAACTGATGAAATTTAGGAAATTGTTGCATTGATGTTATAAAAACAGCTTACCCGAGATACAAGGAATTGACACTACTACAACAAATATGAAATTTATTTAAAAAATCTAATTAATTCATTGCTTAAACGTTCTTAGCTAATTATATTGAATTTTTTAATAATATTTCTATCGTTTAATTATAAAATTTTGTATGTCGCTAATTTTTTTGGCACCCAATGATGATAGACCGATTTGTCATTTGTGCATTCGTGGTTGATCCTCAGCTTTGCATGTATGCATATGAAAACGTAAGGTTTTCATGCTTACTCACTACCAATTGCCAATGCACTAAAAAAATCTTTATTTTATAAGTCAATTGTACACCATGCATCTCATCAATTTCTATATTGATCGAAGATACGTTTGATTATACAAAATATTAGATATTTATACGGTTATGAATAATTACGTCACAAAATTTATTTTAAATTATATATTATTAAATTAAAAATTAATATTTATTTTAAACATATTAAAATAAAAGTGCGTAATATAGATTTGAGAAAAATCGAGTACTCCATTTGTGTTTGGCTTATTTTTCTTTTTAGTCCACTGTAAAAAAAATATTCTTCTTATAAGGTTATGACATATTTTAATCTCAACTTTGGTATGATATGTTTAAATCGCCAATATTGCATATCTTTGATTTAAGATTACAAAATTTTTAAATTTATTTTATTTTCTTAAAATTTCGTGTCAAATTAAAATCAAAATCAAATAAATAAATTTTTTTAAAAAGGAAATACTATTTATAGTATAACGACAAAAACGGCTTACCTAATGCATGAAGTGTATTTAAAAATAAAAAATAAAAAATCATGAAGTGCCTTCCAATTTAGCTAAATCTTCCTCTTGTAAGAATGATGAAGTGAAAAAATCAAAGAAGCAAACAAATGCTACCGAATTTCATTGCATAATTCCGCAGCAATGTATAACATATTGTTTATGGCAAGAGTTATAGATAGTCAAGTATTTTTTTTTGTTTAATTAAAATTTTCATCAAGTGTTAATGAATACAAAATCAACTTACTCGGGGGAATTTTATTTTTATTATGAGATTTGAAATATCAAAAATCGAGAAAATCAAAAAATAATAGTTGTTCATCGTATTAAAAATAGTTGTCTAATAACATTTGTTTAATTTAAAAAAGTAAGAGATAATTTATCTTTTGTGTCTATTTTATCTTTGTTATTAAATATTACTCAATAATTATCATCTAACACATTTTTCAAAGCACTATATTAAATAAAGTGAAAGGATAAAAAGTAATATTACGAAGTATTTCTTAAGAGATGTATCAAGTCAATAGTGGAAAACTATTTTGGATAGAGAGAGTTCTAATTACCATACTTCTTCCACTAATTTATGTGATATCAATTGATTATGTATTAAAAAAAGTAAAGATTTTTTTTAGATTCATAATTTAACTTAATTAAAATATTTTAAAGATATAAATTATTTTATTAAAAATAGTAAAATAATTTTAAAAATTAACCTTTTTCTAATTATAGAGATATGATATAATATTTTTATATGTATATTTTAGAAAAAGTGTATTTAGAATGAGAATTCTAAGTTAGGAAAATGCATAAATTTACCTCGAATTTGTTTTTAAAATTCAGTTATATAAATATAGTGATGTATACTAAGCCTGTTATTAGGTAGTGAATTTCTTTTACCCCTAAGACGTGTAACATCATTTTTACAATGGGAGATATATCACACTTGTGCCACATTAATGTCATCTCAATGTCACATTAGATGTCATGTCAAATTTTGAATAAAATTCTTCATATCATTCAATTTCTTTTTTAATGAACGTCACCATGAAATCACTACCATTGCCGCCATGCATACTACTACAATTCTTTATATTTCACCATGAAATCAAAATAGTCACCATAAATTTCACCACCTACGATCAAATAATCCACCATTGAGACCATACAATCACCATTATCCCCACAAAAATTAGAAAGATTCATAACACAATTTGACACCCATAAATAAACTCATCACCAAAATTATATCATCGCCATCAAGGTTTAAACCCACCACCAAATATCACTATCACAATTGTTAATATCAGTTTTTTTCTTTTCCATCACCTTCAACTTCTGTTTCTTTGTCACCCCGCACCAACAAATCCATCATTTACAACTTAATCATTAATTTTATCAATCACTGACAAAGTCGATGAGAAATATCCAATATAATGAAAATGGTGAAATCAAATAAGCATTAAAATAAGATATGATTGGGAGAAGATCCAAGTCAGCACCGGCAAAGATCTCTTGATTCCTCGCGGCCGGGCCGGCTTGGAAGCAAGCTACCTCTTATATAGTAGGGTGGATGGAAATTGGGTATGAAAAAAACTATGAAAATAGATAAAGAAGAGGTTTATGGTTGCCTATGAAGAAGAAGAAGAGGCGTTGGGTGGGGGTAGGGTGATAGTAAAATGAAGACTATTTAATTTATTCTTTTATTTTATTTTCCATAAAAAAAATGTTTTGTTTTGCTAGGTCAATTCTAAGGGTAAAAAAGTTCATTTTTAAATAGTAAAGGTGTGTAATAGGTCGTCATGATAATTTAAGCGTATAACTCACTTTTTGAAATAAGTTTAAGGATGAATTTATATCTTTTTGGTTCATGTAGAATTTAAGTTTAAAGGCTTCTTTTTATCAAAAAAATAATAATATGATAATCACTTGTCTCTTTGTTGCGTGTGATATATTGATTAATCTATTTTAAGATATTTTAAAAGTAATTTACTTTTAAACTTCAATTTCGACCTACAATATTTATTATTATAATTTATTTTGGCAATAAATATTCTTAAAATATTTTTATTTCTTAAATTTCGTATTCAATGTAAATAAAAGACATATATTAGGTCAAAGGAATACAAATTAATGACTTGATATATAATATAATATTGTGTGTCAATTTTATTGTTTGATTTAACTTTGTGTGAAGGTTAAGAAAATAAAAAATATTTTCAAATCTTGTAATTTAAGTTAAAATATGAAAGAAAAAAAAAAGCATCAAAATGTCCTTTGAACTTAATTGTAGTCTTAAATATGACAGATAGAGAATTGAAATTAAACTATTATCCATATAAAAGTGACATTCTTCGAAAAATATTTACCGTTAAATATTCCTTCATAAATAAATATTTTTTTCTATTAAATGTCATTACAAATTTTCAAGCACCCATAATTTGATAAAATTCATTAATCAACGACAATAATAATTAGTTATTTTTTAGTATATTATTTTTACATGATATGAACAATCTTATCATGTTAGGGATAATTTTTTTATAAAATTATTTGAATTTTCCTTTCCCATGATCGCAAATCCGGCCTACGATCTATGTAGACTCTAAAAACAAATTCTTGCAACGGAAATGTTGAAAAATTGTGAGTTTGTGATGAGCCACCAATATTAGGGAAGCACATACATCAGCTTCACGTCCTTCCAATTTTTCAATTATTAAATTATTCATTCTTTCGTGAAAAAAAATATTTTTTTAATGTAAAATTTTGTTTCATTTTTCTATTTTTTATTTTTTATTTTTTCTACCTATCTTGAAACTATAAAAATTATGGAAGCTCTTAAAATTAGGTAAACAAAAGAACAGAAGAGTTTGACCATGCGATTCTGTGCTTAAGCATGTTAAAAGATCAGAAACATCTATCAGAATTTGGTCACCGATTTAAAAAATTATAATATCTTTTTTATTTTAAAATATATAGATTTTTTTATTTTTAATTAAAATGTATTAAAGTTAAAAGGATAAAAATATTTAAAAAGGTAAAATATTATTCTAATCAAAATTTCTAGCTAAAATTGTTCCTTTATTATATTATATTGCATTTGCGTAAAAATGATAGATTAATGATAAAATTTTGTAAAATGCCTAAATTTCATAAACGCTAACATTATAGTGTTGTGAATTGTCCACTTCATATTCACGAGTCTTTGATTTCAATTTTTCCAAGACAAATTTAACATAAAATACATCATAAAGGTAGCAAATTAACAACATTGTCAATAGTATTATAATATTTTGACAGGTGCCTGTGAATAATGGGATAGGGCATTGTTAGGGGTGACAAATGATTGGATTGGATAGGATTTGAATAAATTGAATATGAATTTAACAAAAATAATTTGGGTTACAACCATCCAAATAGAATATAGACAAATATGCATTCGATAAAATGGTTTCAACCCATTCTAAACAATCTATTTTCAAAAAAAAAAAGGAATTATCCCTCCCCCGGCACCCGCTTCCCCCTCCCCCCTCCACACACCTTCCACCAACGTACCCCTAATTTTTTTTTTGATTTTCAAAAACAAAAACAAAGAACTATTTTTTGCAAGAAACAAAATAAAATTTTACCCCCTTGGTGGAAGTTTGGGGGGGGGGGGGGGGCGGGAGGGGATAAAATTTATTTTTTATTTTTTTTCATAAACAATTTTTTTTTAAAAAAAATAAAATTTAGTGGTAGGTTGGTGCAAGGTGGGGGGGTGGGGTTTCGCGGAGGGAGGGGGGTAGATTTTTTTTTTTTTTTTAAAAAAAAGAAATTAGGGGTATGTTGATGGAAGGTAAAAAAAATTTCCAAAAATACTTTTTTTTTAAAAATAATAATTAGGGAGGGGGTAATTTTTTTTTTTCAAATATAATTTTTTTTTTAAAAATAATTAGGGATAGGTTGGCGGGGGTCTGGTGGGGTGCCTGGGAGGGGGTATTTTTTTTTTTGGAAAACAGATTTTTTTTAAAATGGA